AGTAAGGAGGAAGGTGGACAGCGGAATTATGTTAGAAACTCTCATCCTATTGAGGTTAACAATAGGTTTGATATTCTGATGATTGATTCAGGTGATGAACCCGTGAAGAAGCATGTGGAGGTTGATAATTCAGAGGCATTGGAAAGACAGGGCAATGAGAAGATTAATGAAGATGGAAACAGTGCAGCGAATTTTGGTGATATAGGTATGAAGAGCTCAGATATGATAATTCAGAATGGGAGCAGTAAGGCTAAACTTGTCAAGGAGATCAAATCTTTGGGACCTATTGAAACATATCAGAAAAAGAAGAGAAGAGATGGAAGAATGAGTTCCATGAGTGGGGAGAGTCCCCCAATCAAATCTTAATGTCTACCCTTCTTTTTTGGAATTGCAGGGGGGCTAGGAAGAGGGAGGCTGCCTTGTATCTGAAGGAGGTAGTTAGAGAACAGGATGTTTGTTTTGTTGGTCTTTTGGAGACTAAGATGTCTCATATTGGTAGGAAGGAGATTGATTATCTCATTGGGAATAATTGGGATTTTGTTCATGTCCCAGCTGCAGGCTTGGCCGGTGGTATGCTTGTGTTATGGGATAAGAGAATTGTCTCTTTTGTGGTTAGAAATACTTCTTCACAAGTAATTTTGGGGGATTTGTTGATCCCTAGTATGGGTATGTGGAAGATTGCTACGGTTTATGGGAGTCGTTGTTGTAATGAAAGAGAGGAGCTTTGGAGGCAGCTTGAAGAGAATTTGAAGGATCCTATTCCAGCTATCATTGGGGGGGATTTTAATTGTATCATGAGCAAGGAGGAGAAGAGAGGAGGTAAGAGATTTCTTTTTTCCAAAGGGCCAAGGGAGATGAAGCAATTCATGTTAAATTCAGATTTTCATGATGTTAGGAGCATTGGTCCAAAGTACACTTGGTGTAACAACAAAGAAGGAATCTCTCGGATTTGGGAAAGATTGGATAGGTGTTTGCTGAATTCTATTGCCCTTCAGAGAATCCAGACCGCTATGACTAGACATTTAGCTAGGGTAGCATCGGATCATAGTCCAATTTCCATCAAATTGGATGGGAAGATTCAAGTCAAGAGAAATAATATCAAATTTGAAGATACTTGGAGGTCTTATCCAGCGGCTAGAAGCATTGTTTTTCATTCTTGGAAGAAGAATGATTTTGGTGATCATAGTGAAATCCTTCAAAGGAAGAATTGTAGAACAATGAAGGCATTATTCTTTTGGAGTAGAAGCAAATGTAAAAATCTGAAGACCCTCAAGGATGATCTGAAAAAGGAAATCATTGAACTCCAAAATAAAGAGGCGGATGGCAGTGGCTGGACTAATGAGGATCTCATTTTGCTTAGAAGTAAAGTACATGAATTGAATGTTACTTTGAATCAGTTGGCTACATGGTGGAATCAAAGGGCAAAGGCTAGATGGCTTGAAGAAGGGGATAACAATTCAAAGATGTTCCACAACTTTGCTTCGGCTAGAAGGAATGGAAATAGAGTGGTTCAAATTATAGATGTGAATAATATAGTTCATGTTGAAGAAGAGGAAATAGAGAAGGTTTTCACTCAGTTCTTTGAAGCTAAATGGAGAAGCAGAAATTGTGAGTTAAGTGTCTGGCCCAATATATCGAAAAAGCAGAGATTAAGCCAAAGAGTTGTTGACGAATTGTGCTCGGAGTTCACGGTGGCTGAGATGCAGACTTCGGTTTTTCAGCAGGGCAACAATAGAGCACCAGGTATGGATGGAGTGACTTCTTCCTTTTATAAATGCTATTGGGATATAGTATGGAGAATATTATGGGCAGCTATTAGGAGCTTCTTGAATTCTGGCCGTATGAACAAGTCTTGGAAAGACACTCTCATTGTTTTGATTTCCAAGATCAAATGCCCGTTAACTCCATCTGATTACAGGCAGATTAGTTTATGTCAGATTAACTATAAAATTGCAGCAACTATGTTGGTCAATAGATTGAAGAAATGCATTGGTAATCTGATTACTGAGGAGCAAATGGCTTTTATGCCGGGTAGATCCATCTCTGAACATTGCTTGTTGGCTCAAGAAGTTATTCATAAGTTTAAGTCATCCAAGAACAAGAAGGGATTGATGGCCTTGAAGCTTGACATGGAGCAAGCCTATGATAGTATGGGGTGGCCAGTACTTGATCAGATCCTTAAATGGTATGGGTTTCCTTATATGTTCTCTAAACTTCTAATGGATTGTGTTGTAGGTGTGAGATTTTGTATAATGATTAATGGAAGGAATTCTGAATGGATTGATGCTCATAGTGGCTTTCGACAAGGATGCCTACTATCTCCTTATCTATTCATCATGTGCTTCCAGTTGTTGTCTAACTCGATTGAGCAGAAGGGTCATGATCTTGGTATTAGGGTCTCTCCTCGAGGCCCTAGGATTACTCATCTCTTATATGCAGATGATGTACTTCTTTTCTCTCATGTGTCCATTCCTTTAGCCAAATCATTGAAGAAGATAGTTGAAGATTTTTGCAATTGGACGGGCCAAAGAATTAATATCAATAAATCTCAGATTTTATTTGGTAAGGCAGCTGGATACACTATTAAGAAGAAGGTGACCAGATTTCTTGGCTACAAGAGTGTGAAGGAGATGAACTATCTTGGGATCAAATTGTCCTTAAGAAGATTGAAGTTGGCTGATTTCCAAGATCTACTTAGTAATGTGATGGAAAAGCTCAAAGCTTGGGGTAAGAAGACTTTATCTTTGGGAGGTAAGATTACTCTTATCTCAAGCTCCTTGTTGACTATACCAAATTTTCTCATAACCCACTCGTTAATTCCTAAGAAGTTGTTGTATGAGGTGGAGAAACTTTGTAGAAAGTTTCTTTGGCAAAAATCGGGTGGAGAGCATAGTCTACACTATGTGGCTTGGGAAGAACTATGTAAACTAAGAAGTTTAGGTGGATTGGGTCTTCAATCTCCCTTATTACGTGTTGATTCTTTAAGATCTAAGCTAGCATGGGATTTCTACCAGAAAAGTGGATCTCTCTGTTTCAGAGTTATCAAGCACAAATATGGAGAAGATTTGAGGAATGGATCACAGAAGAAATGCACGTCAAATGCTTGGAAAATCCTTTCGGATGGGGGAAGACAACTGCATAATATTACCAGATGGGCTATAGGTAATGGTAATAATATAAATGTCCTTAATGATGTTTGGGTGTTGGATATGAGCATCAACAATTGGCCAACCTTTGTAGACTGTGTTGCTTTGGAAGGGATGTATATAAGCCAACTGTTATCTGATGAGGGACAATGGAACTATTCGTTGCTTAAAGAATTTTTCCATGTAGATTTCATTATGTTGATCAGCAATGTTCAGATCGTCACTGGGATGGAGGACCGCAGAGAATTGTTATGGAAGATGTCGGGTAAGTCCATTTCTACTATGTCTTTTGAGTATAGCCTGAAGTGCAACTACAATTTTGAGTATGAGGACTACTTCACATGGTTGTTTAAGCTTAAACTAAACAAGAAAGTTGAAATTTTCTGGTGGAGACTTGGAAAGTCTGCTATTCCCACACAGGTTTTTCTGCATTACCGGAGACTTGGGTTGGATAAAAACTGTGTGAGGGGCTGTAATAGTATTGAAAGCTATGAGCCCATTATGGTACATTGCAAGTACCTGTTGGATGTTATAAAACAGATACAAGGTTGGGGCATTGGTATTCCGATTTTTCAAAATATCAACAGCAGTCTAGAGGAGATGAGGAGTTTGTCAAACCGTCAGCCTGGCAATGTGAGGATTTACTGCATTGTTGTGGACTTAAGCTGGAGAAATAGAAACTGTGTGAAGCATGGGAAAACTGCGTTACCCTCTTCTGTGACGGCTTCAAATGCTCTTGTGTTGGCTAGTATTAAACGTAGTCCTTATCTTTCAAACTGGGGATCCAATCTCCTTTGGGAGTCTCATGAGTCTTGGTGCACTCCTCCGAAAGATTGGATGAAAATTAACGTTGATGCTTCACTGTTTAGATCCCATTGTGCTGGAGTGGGGGGAATTTTTAGAGATCATAAAGGAAGGTTTATTCTTGCTTTTGGGGAAAAGAGGATTCATTGGGACATTAACAACCTTGAGATGGAGGCTGTTCTCTCGGTCAAAGACTATATTAGAAGTTGGATGCTTAAGTACAAAGGGGTAATTATTGAGAGTGATAATCTCAATGTTATTAGATCCATTCAAGCTTCTTTCAAGAAGAATAATCAGATTGTGGATAGACGGCCTTTGGAGGAGATTCTTTTTTTTAATGACTTTCATAAAGTGGCTTTTAATCATGTTCATAGAAATTGTAATAAGGTGGCCAACCTTTGTGCTACCATGGGTAGTAGTAGGAGTTTTTTCTTTGATAGTTTTTCTTTTAGTAGCATTCCTTCCTTGCTTTTATTTGCTATCAAGGAGGAATGTGATGCTTTTCATTCTTTCCAAGTGTAATTAGTTTTACTTTTCTCTCTTAATGCAAGTTTGCAAGCCTTCAAAAAAAAAAAAAATTTGCAGCAAGAATACATGATCAGTAACACACTCCATAATAAGGATAAAAAATCTTTCTGGAAAATCAAAGTAACTCAACACTTATTTAAGGGTGTTCCAAGCCATACTATCGTATGTCTGCTCCATATCCAGTTTGATTGCCACCAATCCCCTTTTAGACTTAGAGAACCTAAACTTGTGAAAAAGTTCCTAAGCTAGAAGCATATTCTCTTATAAGGCCCTCCCTTTTATGAATGCCACTTATTCCTCAGATACTAAGCAGTGAATTACTTTCATCAATCTATTTAATAAGACTTTTGCCACAATTTTGTAAATTGACATGCATAGGCTAATTGGCCTAAAATTTGAAGGAGATAGAGGATTACTTACTTTGGGTATAAGTGCCACCAATGTCTCCTTCCATTTGGAAGACATTTTACCCAAAGTAAAGCATAGTTGAATAGATTTCCACACATCCATCTCAATGATCTTCTAGTATGCTTTGAAAAAGGAATAGGTTATTCCATCCACTCCAAGAGAAATGTTTTTGCCAAGTTCTCCAATCACCTTTTCAACCTCTTCCACAGAAAAAATAGCCTCCAAGATTTCACAGTCTTCTTGCTTCAGGATGTTCCCATTTGAAGGCCAATTCTCCAATTGGTATTCCCTATGCTTCCATTTAATGTAGAAAAATTGATAAAAGATGCTCCTTATAATAACAGGATCTTCAATCAACTCTCCATCATCATTCTTCAATTGCTTGATCGAATTGCCATTCCTTCTACCATTAGCAAAGGCATAAAAGAAAGTAGAATTCGAATCCCCTTCCTTCATCCACTTGACTATAGCCCTTTGTCTCCACCATGTATTCAACCGTGCAAGAGTGCAGTTGAATTCCTTGGCTTTGGATCTAAGAAGCAGAGCTTTGCTATTCGAAAACTATTTGTCCAATGCTTCTTCAAACTGCAGCTCTTCGATCTCAACCTTCAGACTTTCCTTCAATTCTTCCAGTTTTTGATGTTTAGCCTTGCTCCAAAAAAACAAGGCTTTAAGGACCCTTGACAGTTTCTTATTAAGAGCTTCCATATCACTCCCCTCACTGGTTTTGCCCAAGAATTCTTGACCACCGAGGCTGCAGCTGAATAAGACAGCCATACATCTTCGAATTTGCAAAATCTGGTTTTATGATATTGCTGTTAAAAACAACTTAAATACAATGGGACAATGGTCAGAAGCAATTCTACTCAAATGCCTCACTGCTTCTTGATTGATCAGCTCCAAAGCTTTCGAATTCAGCATGCACCTATCCAACCTTTCCAAGATCCAAACACTTCCACTCTTATTGTTACACCATCTAAACTTAGAACCAAGAATACCCACATCATGTAGGTCATTCCTATTCATAAAAGCCTTCATTTCAAAGAGTCCATGTGAGAAGGAAAACTTCTTCCCACCTTTCTGCTCATCTTGAGAAAGAATGCAGTTGAAGTCGCCTCCTACCACAGAAGGAACCTCAGGCTTCAAAATTCCATCTAGAAAATTCCATAGTTCTCTTCTACCATGTATCTCCATGCTACCATAAATAGTAGCTACCATCCAAATGCCTTTGTTGAACACCTTTAGCTCACCAATCACACATTAGTCCGAGGTGTTTATCAATGAGAATGAAGCCACATCAGATTTCCAGATCACCAGAATTCCTCTAGATTTACCTCTAGAAGGCTGCATAAAATATTCCCAGTTCTCACCCATCAACTTACCAAATTCTTCTTTAGAAAGAGAAGCAATCTTGGTTTCAACAATACCCACAAAAAATAAAACAAAATCTTTAATATACTCCTTCAAATACAAGGAGGACTCTTTCTTATTAGCCCCCCTACAATTCCAAAAGCTAATAGAACTCATTTGGATGAGAATGGGGAAATACCCCCACCCCTTCTCTTGTTCAAACTTTTTTTAGCTTGCCTAGAAGTCAGATTTAATGGGCCCAAGTATCATAGTTCCTTTGCCAGTTTCATTTTTTGAGTAGAAGCCTTCTCGTTACTCAAAATAGTTTTCTCCTCATCTTGACTTTCATTATTCTTCTCAATGCTACCCATTGCTACTTTAACTTTTTTATTAGTTTGACAATCTTCCAGAATTTCCACTAATTCACCTTCTTCCACCTCCTCTTCTTTGTAATCATTCTGAGTTTCCACACCATTTCCTTCCTCACATAAAGAGTTAAGCAATTCAAATTTATTACCTGACGTAAATAAGGCCTCTGGGTTGATTCAATCTCTAAATTCCCCTCAAGATCCCTGGGTTCCATCAAGTTTCTGGCTTGGAAACTAACATCCATATCAGCTTCAATAGAATTCACAGCATCTTCAACTTTACTCCGAACTTTAGTAGGCTTGCTAGCTTCTTCCAATAATTTTGACTTGTCTCTTGCCAATTTACCATCTCTTAGATTGCCCAAGTTCTTGTCTCTCTCTTCCAGGTTTATCATTACACTTCCTTTTTTCATCACATTATTTGTAAATTCCGCATTAGAAGATTTCATGGATTCACCTCCCTTTGGAATGTATCTCATTTTATGCAATCCCAAGGTCCTCTTTTTATTTCTTTTATCGTTGACTAACAACCGGGAGTTTGAATCTGGACCAACCTTGGTATTAATGCCTTGCTCTATAATATTTTCTCCACATTGTCTAGTATTCTCCGCTGATCCTGTATTCTTCAAATGGCCAATACGTCCACATTCATAACAAAAGTTGGAAATTTTCTCATATACCACTTTTTGAAAACATTTTCCATTTACTCATTCCACTCATACAACAGTAGGCAATTGACGATCAAGCTGAATGCAGACACAAATCATGGCAAATTCTCTCCTCCTCCATTGGAACATACCTCCATCTATCAAAATGAGTTCTCCAATAGAGGATGCTATCCTTGAAACATTGATTTCGTTCTAACAATATAGCGACAAATTTGGCATCCAAATACAGATTGGAGAAGATAGCCCTTTGAGTTAGTTGGGATTAAATTCTGAACTCCACTTATCTAGCCCATCTATATGCCCATTGATGAACCATGGCCCTCCTGATAGAACATTCTCCATGGCCTTCTTAGAGAAGAATGAACATAAAACCCAATCAGAACCAAGGCTCATTAGATGAAATTTACCAAACTTCATCCACTAATATCTCAGCTCAGCCGCTACTAGCTGCACCAGAATACGCCTCCAAAAAACCTTCACAACAATGGAAAATTGTAACTTCTATGAATTAGCTTTAACATTACTTTCATTTGGCAAGAGTGTATTTGGGCCATGCTAATCTAGAGAGAGAAGCTCCAGCGATTTCCTAGAGAGAGAAAGTTCATCATTATTGAATTTTTTTGCTTCGCGGGCTCAATTCTGGTGGCGGGTTTGACGATTGCCGATCATTGGAGGAAGGTTTCTCCAACCTCTTTCCATCGTCTCTATGGCCTCCGGTCGGTCAGTGGGATCTGATCGATTGATGAATAAGGACATTGTGATCATGGAGGGGTTTCGACCTCCGTCTTTTCAAGAACCTAATATCAAAAGTAAAGGCAAGAAAGCTTTGGTTGATCGTTTGACTGGTGGATGTAGAGAGAATGTTAAGGCAAAAGTTTTGTCCGAATCTTTAAATCTAGAGACATCGTCTTCTGCAGGATTGATCTTGAAAGTTAATAAATTCTTAAGTAATAAGGAGAATGTCGCAGGACAAAATTTGACGGCTGATATTGAGGTCTTGGGAAATCAAGAAACGGTTAAAGGTGTTGAATCTATGGAGACCGGTGGAAATGAGGATGGTCTCGGAGATAATGAAGGGCTGAAGGAGGAGTTTATTGCAGCGTGGAAGAAACCACAACACATCAGGATTTCATTTAATAAAGATCTCGTTGGAATGTCTAAAGATGGAGTTGCCGTCAAGCTAAATGCAGATAAAGAAATTCAGAATTCTCAGGTGCTGAAGTTCTCGTTGGTTATTAAAGTTCTGGGTGACAAGATTCCTTTTCCAGTTTGTAGTGTTGAACTGAGAAGACAATGGAACAAATTGGGAAAATTTCATATGACGTCACTTGGGAGGAACTGGATTTTATGTTCTTTCAAATATAAGGAAGCGATGAATGAAGTGCTGAATGGTGGACCTTGGTATGCTGGAGGTTACTTAGTGGGGATTGAAAAATGGTCTCTGGCATTTAATCCTAATTCTTTCAAAGGAATCACTACTCCGGTGTGGATTCGTCTCCCATGTTTACCACTATACTACCGGGATAAAGAAAACATTGCTCGAATTGCTTCGAGAATAGGAGTACCTATGTTTGTTGATGGAAACTCCTTCAGATGGGGAAAATGGGAATTCGCTCGTGTTTACATAAGATTGAATCTGAAAAACAGTCTCCCAAAGGGCGTATGGATTGACGGAATTGCGAGAAGGTTCTTCCAGCAAGTTGAATATGAAAAGATTGATTTGCTCTGTTATCAGTGTGGCAAGGTGGGGCATGATAGGAAGGTGTGTCCTGAAATGTTGAAGGCTGGTATGGCTGAGAAGGTGAGCAATAAGCAGGAGGTGGTGGCTGAGATTCCTCCAGAAAATAAAACTATTGAGCAGGAGTATGGTCCTTGGATCCACGTCAGATTCAAGAACAGGAATAATAGAAGAACTAGAGTTGGGAAAGGAGGAAGGGATGAAATAATGGAGATGGAAGCTCGCAGTAAGGTGTTGGCTGCAGATCAACAGGATATAGTGGAAGCAGCTACTGATACATTGCGTGTTGATCATCCGCAGGATGATAAGAATTTATGCTCTGGTATTGAAAAGAAAATAAGGCTAAGGAGGCTAATTTTGAAATGGATAACATATTCCACATTCTTATGAATAAGGTTGAAGAGGGGGAAGTAATGATTCAGCCCAATGAGGATAGAACAGAGGATTTAAGGGAGCCAAAAGAAAATATGGTTGATCTAAAGGCTATTGAGGTACACAACAGTAATTTGGCTAAGTGCAAGTTGGCCAAGGAATTGAAATCTTTGGGCCCTGTTGAACCCGAGCATAGGAAGAAAAGAAGAGATGGGAAAGGAATCTAAATGGCGGGGACGATTTCCCTCTTTTTGATTAATGTCATCCTTGGTGTTTTGGAATTGCATGGGGGACAGAAAAAGAGAGGCCTCTTTGTATTTGAGGGAGATTGTGAGGGAGCACAATGTGGTTTTTATTGGGATTATGGAGACAAAGATTTGTAGCATTGATAGAAGAGATGTGGACTACTTTATTGGAGGTGATTGGGATTTTTTTCATCACCCAGCAGTAGGCACTTTTGGGAGAATTTTGAATGTCTGGAACAGAAATAAGGTTTCTTTTGTAGTTAAAGAGAGCTCTTCTCAAGCCATTTTTGGGATTCTTTCTACTCCCTCTATGGGGGATTGGAAGGTAGCAACTCTTTATGGGAGGTGGTGTTGTGTGGAAAGAAGGGATCTTTGGAGTTCACTTGAGAAGAATATGATGGGGTCGGGTCCATCTTTAGTGGGGGGAGATTTTAATTGCATCCTTAAGAAGGAAGAGAAGAAGGGTGGGAAGAGGTTCATCTTCTCTAGGGGGCCTAAAGAGATGAAAAATTTTATGTCTAACTCTGATTTTCATGATACAGGTTTCATTGGACCAAGTTTTACTTGGTTCAATAATAAAGATGTATCTTCGAGGATTTGGGAAAGGCTTGATAGATGTTTGGTGAATTCAGCTGCTTTGCATTTGGTCGCTTCTGGAAGAGCACGACATCTTGCTCGGGTGGCATTTGATCATAGCCCCATTGTTTATAAGATGGAAACATTGAAAATCAATAAAGATAAAAACATCAGATTTGAGGATACTTGGAGGTCGTATCCAGCTGCAAGAAGCATTGTTTATAACTCTTGGAAGAAAGTAGATTTTGGAGATGAGGTGGATATTCTTCATAGGAAGATCAAGAGGACATTGAAAGCTCTATTTTTTTGGAATAGAAATAAATGCAAGGATTTGTGCAAGTTAAGAGATGAATTAAAAAGAAATATTATGGAATTACAAGCCAAGGAAGCATCTATTACAGAGTTCTCGGTGGAAGATCTGTGTCTCCTCAGACACAAAGTACATGAGCTGAATATTACCTTTAAGAGAATTTCTACTTGGTGGAATCAACAGGCCAAGGAAAGGTGGAATGAGGAGGGTGATACAAATTCTATGTTTTTTCACAACTTTGCTTCAGCTAGAAGAGTGCAAATCTGATTAAATACATTAAGGATGGTAGTAATCTGTTAATTGACGATGATGAACGAATTGAATAGATTTTCCTTCAATTCTTTGAAGAAAAATGGAAGCATAGGGAATGTCATCTTACGGGCTGGCCTGATATTATTGCTTCACAAAGATTAAGTGAGATGGATAGAAAATTTCTTGAAACTGAATTTCTATTGGAAGAGTGCAGGGATGCGAATTTTCAACAGGGAAGTAAGAAGTCGCCTGACATTGATGGAGTCACCCCATCTTTCTTCAAAATCTATTGGAGCATTTTTGGAGAGACTGTTT